CGCGGAGCGGCTGGGCCCGTGAGCCATGGCCACTGAGCCTGCACGTCTGGAGCCTGTGCTCCGCAACGGGAGAGGCCACAACAGTGAGAGGCCCGCGTACCGCAAAATAAAATAAAATATTACCTGTGTGGTTTCTCTGTCATCTAAATCCTGATTGATGCAATACACTTCATCAGATTGGAGAATTTCTCTTCTCTTCCTAGTTTGATGAGAATTTTAGTTAGAGTAGGTGTTGATTTTTACCAACTGCTTTTTATGCATTTATTGAAAATAATCTCATGGTTTTTCTCCTTTTCGGTGAAAATTATATTGTTTGATTTTAGAATGTTAAGCCAATTTTGCGTTCCTGGGATAAACAATACTTTATTGCTGGATAAATTTGCTAATATTTGCTTAGGATTTTATGTCTACATTTATGAAATGTCTTTCAGGTACCTATGGGAGTGATCAATGTTATTAGTTTCTAAAATTAAAATTAAAAAGCTAAAATTAAAAAAGACCTGAGCAAAAGTAATAAAATATTAAAATTTGATAAGCCTGGATGGTGGGTAAATGGTAATTTGTTACATTATTCTCTATACTTCTCTGCTTTCTTCTTTTCAATTAAACAATCCTTGGTTGCAGCTTAGAAGACACATTCAGAGGATAGATTGAGGACATAAAAACTGGGTTCTGTGTGCTATTAGGAATACAGGGGTAGGATAGTCATGTGTAACCTCTTCACATAGCAATGGGTCAAACACATAGCTGGTACTCAGTAAAAGTTTATTAAATGAATTTAGATTTGTTTAAATCACACTCCAATACAACATAATGGATGCTGTGATCCAGATCCATCCTCAGGATCTAGTCAGTCATTCCCCCAGCTTCTGGGAGTAAGTTGCTCATGGCTCAATTTCTCTCTGGGAATTGCCCTCCTCCAAAGGAAACAGCCTTGCCAAAAGTTACAGGACCTGTCCACATACAGCCTCCATCACTGGTCAATGCAAGGACATAAATTTCTGGTCCCCTTCTTTAATTTGGAATAATTCTGAAAGGTCATCCCAGGCTCAGAGCATTCTTTGGGATTGGCTGAGGCTTCTGCTTAGTTTCACAATTCAACCTCTCCTTCTGCCTAATCCTGCTTCCATCACTCCCTTACAGGCTTGGCCTTGAAAGTACCTTCACCCCATCCCCACCGCAATAAACCTTCTGCATGTTAATCTCCCTCTTCCTCGGGGAACTCCACTCAGGACACGTATTACCCTATTTTACTTTTCTTTTCATAGCAGTTATCAGTATTTGAAATACCCTTATTTATTTAACGTTTTAATACTTGTTTATTGCCTGCTGTAAGAATGTAAGCTTCCCAGGACAGATCTTTTTCTTTTTCCATACAATGTACACTACTGTATCAAGAACCTAGGGCAGAGCCTGCAGAACACAAGCAGGCCCTCAATACTGGTTGTTGGAATGAACGAATGAAGAGAGACACACCTTGCCCTAGGTATCGTACAGTCAATAGCCAGTAACAAGCACTTGAGGGCGGAGACTCCGGACAAGTCCCCGAGTCCCCGCCCTTCCCAGCACGCCCCCAGGCGCAGGCAGAAGGCGGGGCCCCGCAGACGCCGCGGCCCGCGCAATGCGGCAACCGGCGGTACGGCTGCTGTGGCTGAGTCAGGTGCCGTATGCCGAGCTGCTGGCGCTGCAGGAGCGCTGGCTGCGGCGGCTGCAGGCCGAGCCAGGGACCGAGGCGGGCGCGCTCCTGCTCTGCGAGCCCGCGGGGCCCGTGTACACCGCCGGGCTGCGCGGCGGCCTGACGTCCGAGGAGGCGACGCGGCTGCGGGCCTTGGGTGCCGATGTGCGCGCCATTGGCCGCGGCGGCCTAGCCACCTTCCACGGCCCGGGCCAGCTGCTCTGCCACCCCGTACTCGACCTGCGACCCCTTGGCCTGCGCCTGCGCGCCCACGTGGCGGCGCTGGAGGCGTGCGCCGTGCGCCTGTGCGAGCTCCAGGGTCTACCAGGTGCCCGCGCGCGGCCCCCACCCTACACCGGCGTCTGGCTGGGCGAGCGCAAGATCTGCGCAATCGGTGAGCGCCTCGGGGCGGGGCCTGGCGGGGCCGGACCAATGGTGGTGAGGGCAGAGCCCCGGCTGGGAGGAGGTGTGTCTGGCGCGGGCTTTGAATCAGAACTAGTCCTGGATGTAATGTATCTTTCTTCCTCTGAAGGATTTTTTTCCCCTTTTTAAAAGAAAATTGTGGTAAAATACACATAATATAAAATGTACCATCTTAACCATTTTAAAGTGTACAGTTCAGTAGTGTTAGGTGTTTCCACATTGTTATGCAACCAATCTCCAGAACCCTTTTCATCTCTCAAAATTTAAACTCCACTTTTTATTTTTTGTGGTACGCGGGCCTCTCACCGCTGTGGCCCCTCCCGTTGCGGAGCACAGGCTCCGGACGCGCAGGCTTAGCGGCCATGGCTCATGGGCCCAGCCCCTCCGCGGCATGTGGGATCTTCCCGGACCGGGGCACGAACCCGTGTCCCTTGCATCGGCAGGCAGACTCTCAACCACTGCGCCACCAGGGAAGCCCTAAACTCCACTTTTAAACAACTCCCCATTTCACCTCCCCCCTAGCCCTTGACAACCTCCATTCTACTTTTATCTGTATGAATTTGACTTCTCTAGGTAACTCATTTAAGTGGAATCATACAGTAGTTGTCTTTTTGTGACTGGATTATTTCACTTAGCATAATGTCCTCAGGGTTCATCTATGTTGTAGTGTGTGTCAGGTTTTTTTCCTTTTTAAGGCTTAATAAATATCTCATTACATGTAAAAACAAATAAACAACAAAACAAAGTTTTTAACCCTCTTCACTGAAATATTCAGAACCAGAAGGGCCCTTAGAGGCCAACTCGTTCAACACTCATTTTTACCAATGGACACACACGGGAATTGAATTGCCAGGGTACTTCACAGTATCAGGACAATAAGGGTGAAATAGTTTTTTCAACCTTTTTTTTAAGCAACGGAGGAATCTCTTTGTTAAAGGACATTTTCTGTAATCTCCATAATAAGTGCAGCTACTGTGGAGCGACACACCTCTCCTCCCATTTTGTCCCCCTCCCCTGATCTGTGCACAACCCCTTGGGTGCTCTAGAAACAAAGTTGGAAAGTCAGTGGTCTAGTCCAGTTTCCTCATCACACTGAGGGGGATCATGAAGCCTGGGGAGGGAGGGTACCTATTCTAAGACCCATTGGTTTGTCTTGCAGGAGTCCGCTGTGGAAGGCACATTACATCTCACGGCCTGGCGCTGAACTGTTCTACGGACCTCACGTGGTTTGAGCACATTGTGCCCTGTGGGCTGGTTGGGACAGGTGTCACTTCCCTGAGTAAGGAGCTCCAGAGGCATGTCACTGTGGATGAAGTAATACCACGTTTCCTTGAGGCCTTTAAAGAGACCTATAAGTGCACATTGATCTCCGAGGACAGCCCCAGCTGAAGGGCATTTATATTATCACAGCCTGGAGGTCCTGCCTTGGAAAGCACCACACCTGACTTGGAGTCACTGAAACCCAGATTCTAGACCCAGCCCTGTCATTCACACACCATGAGACTATGGGCAAATCATGAGCTCTGAGCCATTGGTTCCATATGTATCCTGGTTTATTTATATCTTCCCCACCTACCTCAGATATAGATGTGAAAACATTATGAAAAGCGTGCTGTATAAATATAAGGCATTAGCACTACCATTGACACCATTTTCTCAGAAAAACTCAGATATCACAGAGTGTCATTTCTCAAATATTTATTATTTCCTCAATACTGTATTTAACTGGGGAGGCCTGGGCTCCAGTTCCTTTGATTTTTGTAAGAATCATTTCTCTGGATCATCCAGGTGAAGGTGATGTGATGTGGTGAATTTTCATTCTCAGGAGACCTGGGTGCTTTCCGCAATAAAAGGGAAAGGGAAAGGCCTCTTTAAAGAATAAAATGGGATTCTGTGTTCCTGGGTTGGATTTCTCAAGCCTGATAGCTATTTTTAGTTAGGTAACCTGAGCTAGGCCAGAGGCTAGGGGAAAGAGAAGAATAATTTCTCACACTGTACAAATGCCAAAGATAGAAGTAAGTTTTTCTTATACGACATCTCTGTTTGTAAGGTTCTATAGTAATTATCTATTGCTGTGTAACAAATCACCCCAATATTGTGGGTCAGGAATTAGGGAGAAGCTTAGCTGGGTGGTTCTGGTCAGGGTGTCTCAGGTGCAATCAAGATGTCAGCTGGGGCAACTCTCATCTGAAGGTTTGACTGGGGCTGGAGAATCAGCTTCCAAGATGATTCACTCACATGCTTGGTTGGTAGTAGTTGTTAAAAGGAGACCTTAATTCCTCACCTTAGTTCCTCATCATTCCACAGGGCTGCTTGAATGTTCTCATGACCTGGCAACTGGCTTCCCCCAGAGCAAGTGATGCCAGAAAGAGACAAGGTGGAAGCCACAATGTCTTTTATGACCCAGCATTGGAAGTCACACAGTCATTTCTGCAGTCTCTTAATATGTGAGCCCTATTCAGTATGGAAGAGACTGCACGAGGGTGATAGGAGGTGAGGATCATTAAGGGCCATCTTGGAGACTGACTACCACAGGCAGTTAGAGTAGAAAGAACCTTGAATGAGAAGTCAGGCAACTCTAGTTCCAGTCCTGGCTCTGTGGAACAGTAACCAACAACATTCAAGATGGCGGCTGCTTCCTGAGGGACTGCAATGAGCAGAGCTCCCTGCTGCTGATGGACAGGTGGTGGAGTTCAGCTACCAAAATGTGAGGGTTGTTCATTACCACAGCATAACTAGCTTATGCTGACGGATAAAATATGTTTGTATTAATTAGGACTCTTGTATTTGCAAGTGTAGAAACCCAACTCAAACTAACTTAAGCAAAAACAAACAATCAAACAAACCCCACAATGGGAGGGTTATTGGAAAAGGTACCGAGGGGGCCTTGCAACCCCAAGGATGGGGCTGCAGCAGGGCTCCAGAACAGAACCAGAGCATGTAGCCCTTTAGGAGCCCACATGGTGTTTTCTCTCCTGTTCTCTGCCGTGATTCTTGGTGTGTTTGCTTCATTCTATCTTACTTCAGTCCAGCTTTCTCTGTTTCCCAGGCCATGTAGTGGAAGATGGCTACTGCTGCTGTTATCCATGAATGTTGCAGTAGAGTCAAGGAAAATCCCCACGTTTCTGGCTTGAGCAAGTGGGTGGATGCTAGAGGTATTGCTGGGATAGAGAACTCTGGATAATGACCAAGTTTGGAGAGAATGATAATGAGTTCAGTTTTAGGGAAATCAGGTTTGAGATACTTGTGGAAGATGTAGGTAGAGAGGGCCAGTTGGGTGTTTGAATCTGGAGCATGGCTGTGATGAGCGATGGTTTCGGTCTGGGAGCCCAAAGAGAAGGGGAGGGCAGAGGACTGATAAATGTGAGGCACGGGCCGAGGAGGAGCAGGCCAAGGAGACTGAGAAGCAGTCTAGGCAGAGACATAGTGCAGGACCCAGAATGAGACCACACGACGATCTCATTCACTCTTCTGGCAGCACAGCAAGATAGGTAGGCTTATTTTATGGATGAAAAAACTGAGGCCTGGGAGGCTAAGTGAGTTATTTGAGGTCATGCACTTAGTTAGGGGCAGTCAGTCCCTGGCTCCTAATCTGGGCTCTTTTCCACTCTTCCACAGCTGCCTCTGAAGGGCGAGCAGGGCAGGTATCCTGGAGGAGACATGCCTCCACGAACAGGTGGGTCGACAGAGCTGAGGAGGACGCAGGGCAGAAGGCCAGAGTTAGGCTGAGGCTGGATGTGTGGAATTGGCTCAGGCCACTGCTGTGGGTTCCTGACTCTCCTTCCTTTCTGGACAGAGCCCACCTACGCTTTCCCACTGGGGCCCTTCCTCAAGGAAGGAAGCTGAGTGTACGAAAGAGGATAGTTAACACCCTGGCTTTTCCACCTCCAGAAAGCCTCTTCTTGTTTATGAGAAGTCTTTTCCTCATAAATAAACAAATTGTCCAAGGTCTGGTGAATGAGTGCTAAGTTTGAGGACGTGACCAACTGCAGTGACTGGCCCAGCCCTTGTTCCTTTGGCAGGAAACCAAACAGAACCTGCTCTGACAGTGTGACCAGGTGCACCTCGCTTCATGAAAAAAGCCTCTGACTGAAAACCTTCATGGAAATCAGATATTTGCAATCAAAATCTAATTTTTTCACTAAATTGTAATTTACCTTACCTATTATCATACCGTATTATAATAACTATAAAGTTTTAACAAACAACAACACTTGCACTCCCACCTAAAAAAACATTCTTTTCATTTGTGTGTTTCCAGCACTTGATTATGAGCAGACATCTTTTATTATTCTATTCTATTCTGTTTTATAATTCTATTATGAATTATTGTGTGGATAAAATTATGTATACTATTTTAAACCATAGTATTACAGAGATTTTCCCACATTGCTAGATAGTCTTTATATTTTTAACATCTTAATCTTGTTTTAATTTCTTTTAAAACTTAGATCTTTTAAAAAAATATAGGCAATGCATATACATGGAATAAAATTTAAAAGGTACAAAATGCTACCATTGTAATGTAAGTCTTATTCCTGTCCCTTTCCCCTGTAAACCCAGTCCCTTTCCTGGAGGCCTAAATGATGGTAAATGTCTTATTTATATTCTTCATAGATATTTTATATATATATATAAGCATACATGCTTATATGTGTACTTTCTTTTTCATATAGTAGCATACTATACACACATCTCTCCACTTTATAAGATTGTTTCAGGTCAGTATATAAAGAACATCCTCATTTTTAAAAACGGCTATGGAGTCATCCTCATTTTTCGAAACAGCTGTGGAGTATTCCATTCAGTGGATTTACCATGACTTATTTAGCTAGCCCCCTATTGAGGATGTTTAGGTTATTACTAATCTTTTTCTTTTACAAATAAGGCTGCAATGAGGATCCCTGTATAAATGTGCATGTGTGTCTGTGTGTGTGTCTGCATATTGTATCACACACAGTGAGCACAGAGTTTGCGTTTCTAGAAGTGATTTTCTGAGTCAAAGGACATGTGCATTTTTATTTTAATAGATATTATCATATTGCCTTTCATAAAACATACCGATTTATATTCCCATTGGCAATGTACAATGCCTGAATTTTAAATGTTCTAGCATCTTAGATTTTTCTTCATGTTTAAAGTTTTTTATTATAAAATCTTTCAAACAATACAACAAACCCCATGAACCCCATGTACGCATAACACAGGTAAAACAATCAACTCATGGCCATTCTTAGTTTATCTAAACCAGTGCCCATTTCCTGCCTCCTCCCTGGATTGTTGTGAAGCAAATCACAGGTACCATATTATTTCATGCATAAATATTTCAGTATGTATTCCCAAAAGATAAGGATTCTTTAAAAACAACATAACCACAGTATGTCATTAACACATATAAAAAATACTTATTCAATATCAACAAATATTCAGTTAATATTCAGATTTCTTTCTTTGTCCCTCCTCCCCCGCTCCCTCCCTCCCTCCATCCTTCCTTCCTTCGTGTAGTTGGTTTGTTCAAACCAGGATTCAAACAAGGTCTACACACTGAATTTGGCTCATATGTCTCATAAATGTCTCTTTTCACCTATGGTTCCCCCGCTATCTTTTTTATCTTTTTCTCCTGCGTTTCCTGAAGGTTAAAAAGTAGATCCTGACAATTGGCATGATTCAGGTATGATTTTTTTAGCACATCTGCTTTGTAGGTGATGGTGTGTTCTTACATCAAGTAGCATGTAGTATCTGTTTTGGGGTTTTTTTTTCCTCTTTTTTTTTGTGATGACTATGCCCTAGATTCATTATTTTATTAGGGGTTTGCAAGATGTGATACTCTGATTCTATCATTCCTTCTTCACTTACCAGCTGGAATACGTCTATAGACCTGGCAGGCTGAGTGCAAAAGAACTCAATATGTCCGGTAGCATTAGTGTTATTAGCATTTTATTAGTTTTTTAGTTTTGTTCATTTTCATTAAAATTTGTATTGAATAAATACTATGTAAAAGATTTGCTTTTACAGTTGCATTGGAGTTTAAACTGAGTTTAAATTTGAACATATTTAGATTATCAGCACTGAGTACCTCAATGATTTTTTTCCTTTAAAAGGGGTTCCTAAATCATTCAAGTTCATGAGACACTGGTATAAGACTATAGTGTTACATTTTTTCAATTTACCTAAACTGTGAGCTTTGCTAAGCCAGAGACTGTTTCTTTGTTTTGTTTGTTTGTATCCTAGCATGTGAAAGGAAACAGTGGTTCAATGACTGTTATTATGAGGAATTCCCTGTAGCTTTGGTCCTTTTGTTGACAGACATCAGTATCCAGTCTGTGAAGTGGTCATCCCAGCCCTGCTCACACAGCTCCAGACGTGGAGCATTCTTCATAATTCTGATTGTTAGAAAGTTGTTCCTCATCCCAAACTGAAACCTGCCCTCAACAGTGTCATAATTCTGCCCTCCTGCAAGTCCTCCTCTGAGAGGTCTTCCCTGGCCACACTGTGCATCCCCCTCGGGTGGCAGTGGCCCCTATAATGTAGTTACTTATTTCCATGTCTGACCCCGTCCAGACTGTGAGCTCCCCAGGCAGGGACTATAGCTGTTTCACCCATGGCCCTCTCAGGACCAGCCCAGGGCCTCACACAGAGGTGCCCAGAAATGGCCTGTTGAGTCAGCAAATGAATTCTATCCTAGGAGCGGGCTCTTCTTCAAGTTAAACTTTCCTGATTCTTCTGTTCTTCATAAAATATGGCTTCCAGATTCTGCCCCCACTGCCCTCATCTCAACAGGTTCCAATTGGCTAACATGGCCTTAACCTGTGTTGCTTGAAGATAACATGCCTGGTGTGGTCCGGCCAGTGTTGGAGAAGCTAGTAAAATAGTCTTGTTCAGGCTTCAGAGGCAACAATAGGCCTTTGACTAAAAAAGACCCTGGGGCTTCCCTGGTGACGCAGTGGTTGAGAATCTGCCTGCTAATGCAGGGGACACGGGTTCAAGTCCTGGTCTGGGAGGATCCCACATGCCGTGGAGCAACTAGGTCCGTGAGCCACAACTACTAAGCCTGCGCGTCTGGAGCCTGTGCTCCACAACAAAAGAGGCCGCGATAGTGAGAGGCCCGCGCACCACGATGAAGAGTGGTCCCCGCTTGCCACAACTAGAGAAAGCCCTCGTACAGAGATGAAGACCAACACAGCCAAAATAAAAAAATAAAATAACAAAACCCCTAAAAAAAAAAAAAAAAAAAAGACCCTGAAAGAGCTACATGCTGAACTGCTAGACTACATGCAGGTCAGCAGAAACGGTGCTCGCAAGTCTTGGGAATCTGGCCAGTTCCCGGGGATCAGCGAACATTCTGAGACTTACAACTAAAGTATCAAAGCATTTGCAATAACAGCCAGAGCTGCATATCTTCACGCAAGCTGAAGATCCTCAGTTTGCAGCTTGGCGTTAAAAGCAGGACTCCTTTGGGCAGCACTCTGCAGTCTCACCCGTGGGGCGAACACACCACCTGGGACCTTCCCAATTGGGACTCCAGGTTGCTGTGCAAGGGACTTCCCAGCTGCTGCTTGGATCTGGAAGTAGGCGTCGGCCCAATTCAGTGATGTATGCTCTGTTATATACTCTGTTAACACTCTTATTCCTTTTCCTCTAATGATTGTATATTGAAATTTATATACTCTGTTAATATTCTTATTCCTTTCCTTTTAATGGTTGTATATTGAAATTAAGTTAAATCACCTTCTATTAAAGATTTGATTGAAGCTGTTTATTTGTGTGAGATGAGTGGTTATTTTGCCAGCGAATCCAACAAACCTTAAAACCAAAAGCAGACTTTTGGCCAAACAGCCAGTGCAAGGTGTGTCAGCCTGTGCTGGGCCCTGGGGACACAGAGATGGGCCAGACTTGGTCCCTGTCTTCAGGGAGCTCACAGCTTGGTGGAGGAGACACACCAGTAAAAACTGTTCGCAGTAACCTGTTATAAGTACCATGAGAGAAGTCTGTACAGGTACTATGGGAACATAGAAGTGACAAATCTTAAAAGGGAAGAGGGGCAGAAAAGGCTCAAGTGACTTCTAAGTTGTAAGAAAGAGAAAACCTGGCTCAAACGCAATGAAAAGCAGTATCTTAGATCTCGTATCTAAGAAGTCTGGGGATAGACTTTAGGCACAGATTGATCCAGGAGCGGGCAGCATCTAAGGGTGAGTTAGCCAGCCCCAGGAGGAAGGGTGTTCCAGGCAGAGAGAGCAGCATAGGCGAAGGCCTGGAGGTGAGAGAGATCAGGTGGGTATTGGAAGAACAGCAGATTTTCCTCCTACCCCTTTCTAGGGTGAACAGCCTGGCCTCACAGCCTCCTCCCACATTCCTTACTTCTACTCCTCTCTACTAGCCCTTGCCCGGAGCAGCCTGAAAATGAATGCGGAGGACCTCACCCATTTGACTGACTTGCCCCTGCCTCTGCTTGATCCTCCCATTTGCCCCTCTGTATGCTCACCACCCTTCTCCACCCACCATGGGACTCCTTGCTCTTGAGCTTCCATCTGGGTTGGTACAAAGTCAGCAGTAGAAGACCATAGGGTGGGAGGGGAGGGAGTGGAGGGAAAGGAAGGGATTCATTTCCCAGCTCCGTCTCTGCTAGGTCAGCATGGGTTGGTTGCAGTCTCTACATGAAGTCACAGTCCCAGCCTGGCTGCCCTCCCTGGGCTCCAATAAACCCATCCCACCCTTGCCCTCCAAGCCTGGCAATGCTTTCCCTCCTCACTGTTGCTAGCCAGACATGCTGCACCATTCCTTGTCAGTTTCCTAAATCCTCCTTCATGCTCTCTTCAAAGTATCTAGTTTCAGGGTGCCATCTGTTTCCTGCCAGAACGCTGACTGACATGGCCCTGATTTGCAGTCAGAGGCTGGACTGGGGACATGCTATGCCTTGTGAGATGCTGGGTACCTTCAAGGAGTTTTTGTTATTCAGCTCAGCTCAATTCCACCACACTCACCTCTCTCCAGCCCAACCCACATGGGCCCAGGGCTGTTATAAGCACTTTACAGGCATTATTTAATCATCACAGCAAATAACAAACCCACAAGGTTGTATTGCTGACTGTGTTCTGAGAAGAGGAAACCGGCTCAAATGAAGATTTGCCCAAGTTCATATAGTTAGTTAAAGGCAGATCCATGATTTGAACTCAAGTCTGGACTCCAAAGGCTGTACCTTCAACAGCACTCCTGTTGACTCCCACTCTGCCATCCACACAGGAAGGTGAAAGGACCAAAGGAGACAATGAGTGTGAAAGTGCCTTTGAGACCCTGAAGAGCCAACACACCTGGTTGGCCTTAGAGCTGTAGTGTGTCCTGTTGCTCCCCAGGGCCAGGCTGAGTCTTTGACAGGCACTCAAGGAGGTCAGAGCTGACAGAGGCCCCAGAGATCAGACAGCCTCACCCCTTCCTGTGCTGAGGGAGAAACAGCCCCAGAGAAGACAAGTGGTCCCCCCAAGGTCCTACACTTGCAGTAGGAGCCAGAATTAGAATTAGGAGCCAGAATTAGAATTTAGAATGTCTTCAGACACCCCATAACTCTATCAGGGAGAAGGATGTAGCGCTCCCCTTAGAGAGAAGTATAGAAGAGAGAGAAGTGGGTGGGGATCAGGATTGGGGAAGCTGGTGATTTCTGGACTACAGAGTTTCAGACCTGAGGGATGCAAGGGATTTCAGAGCCCATCTAGAAGGCTCCTCTGATAGCCACTCTGACAAGGAAGCTCTACTTGCTCACCTCCAAGATAAGAAGCCCATTCCCATCAGAGGCAGCCTGTCCCACACTCCCAGTGAGCAGAGATCTGGATCCTGTGACTCTCCCATCCCCAAGCCCGCTTGGTCTCAGGTCTTCTCTCTAGGACTCCACAGAACATGCCTGCTCCCTCTGCCCAGGTATGTGAGCCGTGCTCACGGCACACTTACTCCCCTCTTCTCGTTTCTCATTTCTGCTCAACTGTCAATCTCCTGTCTGCCCAAATCATATCTGTTTTCCAAGGCCTACTATAGAGGATACTTGTTGCTTCAGCCTGTACAGCCATTCAGACTACCTCTGATAGTAGCATCCAGATTTTCCTTAGGGAATCACCCCCCACCAGTTTTATGTGTGTGTATTTGTTTGTTTCTTTTAATTGAAGTATAATTGGCATGTAACATTATATTCGTTTCAGGTATACAACATAATGATTTGATATTTGTATACATTGTGGAATGATCACCACAATAAGTCTAGTTAACATCCATCCCCTTACACAGTTACAAAATTTATTTTCTTTTTTTTTTTGGCGGTACGCGGGCCTCTCACTGTTGTGTCCGGAGCACAGGCTCCGGACGCGCAGGCCCAGCGGCCATGGCTCACGGGCCCAGCCGCTCTGCGGCATGTGGGATCCTCCCAGACCGGGGCACGAACCCACATCCCCTGCATCGGCAGGTGGACTCTCAACCACTGCGCCACCAGGGAAGCCCTGTGATGAGAAATTTTAAGATTTATTCTTTTTTGTTTTTTGAAGGGAGGTTTCAGTTATTCAGTGTTTCCAGTTTTTCAATAAGGGATACAGATGGAAAAGCCAGGGCCTCTTCCCACAGAGTTTACAATCTGGGGAGAGAACAAGAGAGATATCACATAACAGAGGCAAATAATTCTAGGAGATAAATGTCCCTCAATGTGTTTTTCAAAATACAAGTTCTTGTACAAACGTGTAACTAAATACTGACTCCAAGGTGCTTCAGTTATATCTGAAAGGGCTTTGAGAAAATAAGAAGTCCTGTTACTGGATAAAGCTAGTGGTCCATCTCGCCTTTCCAGCAGCACCAAAGGAAGTTGTAGGGAGAGCAGAGGTTAACTGTCAAGATAGCTTTTAATTTGTAAATTTATCCAAAGTTTGAAAATATGGGGATTCTTAGGAATCCCACTAGTCAGTGAATGGCCTACCTATATGTCCACTACATCTACAGACTACACACACACCCACTCAGATGATTCTCAGAATGGGGGTATATGAGAAGTTAATTCTCATGTCTGGCTTTGTCATTCTTCGCCTTTCCCTCTCATATCTTCAATCACTTGTGTCACAGGACAAATATAAGTAGTTGGGAAGTGTTAAACTCTGACAGTAAAGCAAAATCAGAGTTAAAGGCAAATGTTTAATGAATCATGTTCAAACACACGCTAGTCAATGAAGAACTTTAGGTTCAAAGGGCCAGATATTCTGCATTCCCAAGAAATCGCAATCAGCTTCTCATTCTGGTTAAATATTTTCACCTTGCATTTTGCGGCCACAAAATTAGTGGTACATTTTTGAGCGTTGATCTATCATTCAAAGATTCAAATTAAGGGACTGAAAGAAAACATTTTGTATCTGTGTATTTGAAAAAATCTGTCAATGAACAAGGAGCCAGGTGTCAGTTTCCTATGGGGGGAATGTTCTCATGGAGGTACTGTAAGGGTAGGTTAGTCCACTTCATTTCTTGTTCTTTAACATTCTGTGGTGCCGCCATTTTCCTGTTCAGGTTCAGGAAGCTCATTCGGTGGTATTACAACATCCTCATAAGGCAGCTTGTCTTCTCACCAAGCATCATCAATCAAATCCAAGATCCTTCCATCTCTCTGTACCTCACTGTCCATTCTCCTGCAGCTTTAATCTTGCCAGATCTGCAAGCCAAAAAGGTTATTTCCTAAACATGAAGACTGAGGAGATAATGTAATCCAGCAGTAGGATTCTCCAGGCTTTTTAGCCTGGATGTGTCTTTTGGCATGATATTACCCTGGGAAAGACTCATCTCATCTGTTTATTTATAAGATCACAGTCCCTCCCAGCTGATTTTCGTGGTCACACACAGATGCCACCTTTTTGTAAAGTTTTCTCAGATCACTCTAGCTTCAGCACACACTCTGCCCTTGATCGGTTCCTTCTCGTCCTTATGATCCACTAAACAAGTTAGGTCGGCTTTGTGACTGATTGCTCAGGCATTATTGTTTCCAATTGCTGTGTGTAAAT